GTTTCTTTTTTAAAAAGACTACTGGAGTTATGATTGCAATTGCATTAAATCACAGATTAATTTGGAAGTAATTAACATCTCAGCAATACTGAGCCTTCTAATCTATGAAATGTGTTTTTCCATTTATTTAGACCAGTAATATTTTGTAGTATTTAGTATATTGGGCCTTACTTGTCTCTTGCTTATTTATTTCTAGGTATTGGTTGTTCTTTGAAAGTATTGCAAATGGAATGATTTTTCAAATTCCATCTTAAAATTGTGTGCTTCAAGTATATAGGAATTTCACCGAGTCATAGCTAATGATCTCACATCCTGTGGCCTTGCTAATACTTACATATATCCTAGTGTTTCATTTGTAGGCAGGATTTGCTATGTAGATAACCAGGCTATCTGAGCATGGCTTCCTTTTCAATATTTCATTCTCTAAGACCTCCAGTGCAGTACTGAGTAGGAGGAGTGAGAATATACATTCTGGCCCTTCCTTTCTTCTCCACCTTCCTCCCCACCTCTTCCTCCTTCCTTTCTTCCTTCCTACATGCTAGTAATGCAGAAGAGTGAGCTTCATTTTGTGAAGCGGTACATGCATATAACCTATAGAGATAATTTTTAATCTTTTACTCCCTTCCACTCCCTTCCTCATCTCTTAAAGCCTACTTTCTAGTTTCCTGTCATCATTCATTCATTCATATTTTAGGTTTCCCATAAGAGAAAATATGCAATATTTAAGTTTCTGAGTCCGGTTTATTTTGCTTTATGTGATGGTCTCGATCCATTTTCCTGCCAATGACAGGATTTTATTTTTCTTTATGGCTGAGTAATATTCACATTTTTCTTTATCCATGCTGTTGACAGTCATCACAGCTCTTTCCACAGCTTAGCTATTGTGAATTGTACTGCTATAAATATGATTGTGCATGTATTGCTTTCATAGTCTTTCTTAATCTTATACATTTTAATTTTTTCTTCTCACAGCTCTTACTGGCTCTTCTATTTGAAATACATCTTCCTCTCATTATCATCTATGTCAGCATCATATTTAATTCCTTGATGCCTTTACCATAAGTGATGTTTACTGTGTGTCTCTTACACTGATCTGTATTTCTCTAGAGTGAAAGTGCTCTCTGTCTTCCCCATTTCATCGGTGGTACACAGCACAGTAGCTCTTAGCTTAGATGTCTTACAGAATCAGTCAGTATTGGTAGGAAATGTTAGTATTATGCAATTTATCTTTTCAGTATTTTACTGTCCTTGGCAAAATTGAGGATAAGTATAATTTTTGCAAAATATATTTCTCTTTCCCCCTTTCTAATTTTTTAAAGGTCAACATTCAGAAGTTCTCATAGAGACTACATATGTTTAATGCTGTCAAAATCTCTTTAACACATAATATTTTTTAAAGCAATACATTTCTTAATACTAATTTTTGTAAAATGCTATAGTGGCAGATTGAGATAGTTTGCCATTCCCAAGTGTCATATACAACAGGAAATTTTCAGTGGTTCAAATATAGAACCAGTGAAAGATAAAGCCATTCCACAATTATGTAGTAAGCAGGTACTGGGTCACTATTTTTTTTAATCTAGAGAAATCTCTTTTAAATAAATTTTATTGGTGCATTTAAGGTATAAATATAATGACATTCATTGTTGGAAATTTGTACCTTTACGTACTCAGTCTCGGTTCTTATTTTTTTCCCCATCCCCCTGTACTCCCTTCAACCTGTATCTATAAAGACTATCTATGAAGGCTTTGTTTCCATTATTTGAAATTTTAATGATGAAGTGAACTTGTTAGGTAAAGTACAGTGGTACCTCGGTTTATAACTTAATTTGTTTTACAATTTAGTGTTTGTGTTTGTGAAAAGATGTCCACGGTGTGTTTGTCACCTAATGTAGAGTTAGTGAAGGGAAACAAAAAACCAAATGTTTTTTTTTTTTTGTGAACTGAATTGTTTACAAACAAGTGTTCACAAACCAAATTTGTACTGTATTTCCTTATTTTTGCCCTTTAGTTTTGCTCTAATTTGCTTTTTAGGTAATTTAAGGCTGATGAAGGCAAATCGCTTCCAGCCTGGAACGCAGTGATCTAGGATTTATTCAAAGGGCAAAATATCTTTCTTCTTTCTCCATTTAAACAGCTTCATTTAGACAATGGGGAGAAAGTAAAGCTTCAGTTTATGTACAGATGTGAGGAAAATATGATTTTGTTTTCCCATAATATATTAAAAATAATTTGTTAGCTTACTCTATACCTGATGGAAATTGTGTTTAAAACATAGATTAAAAATATTCTTAGTTGAATGATCATTTATCCAGCCCCCTCCTTCCCTTGTCTCTTCCCTCTTCCTTACTCCCTTCTTTCTATCCTTTGTTCTCCCCTCATATCACAGTATTGGGTGTTCTTGATACTGCAAACATAGTGTTGAAGAAAGCATCATGGCTGTCTGTTTCCAGCCATCACTGAGGTGGGGAAGTAGACAGCAGAGAAGTAAACATATGGTAGTGATGAGTTTTGGTGGTGTACGTATTGTAAACAAAGAGGTGTGTTGTGTATGTCTGTGTGTGTGTGTGTGTGTGTGTGTGTGTGTGTGTGTGTGTCAGAGAGAGAGAGAATGAGTATGGGTAGGAGGTGAGAGGGAGCATAAGACTCATAAAGGCCTCATTAAGGAAGGGAAGATTAAGCAGAGGTGAGCAAGCCCAGCACGTCCAGAACAGAAGTAGAAGAAGATCAGGTAAGAGACTCAGAGAAAGGAAAGAGGTTGGGTTTAGAGGAACTAGAGTGTGGCCCAAGAAGTGTTGAGCCCCAGGAGAGCATGGTGGGCTGAGGCTGGAGAACAACATTGTCACTAGATCTCAGAGGGCACCGTGGGCTGTGGCGCGGGTCCCAGTGTCATTTCAAGTGCAGTCAAAAGCAAGGGGTTCATTGTGCAGTTCTTTCATTCTGTCATGTAGGTGTTTCAAGAACATCTCTGATATGGTGAGAATACCTAAGTCCAAATTATCATTTCCATTTCTTCTTCTAAACATAGAAAATGAAATAAAACCTGAGAACACTGGAAGAAAGGTGAACACATCCACCATTACAATGGAGATTTCAACACTTTCCACCTGGGTGCCAGGGAAATGAGTATTCAGACATCTAGTATGAGCACAGAGGATGAATAAAGCTTAACTGCCTCTCACTGTTCAAGGAAACTTGCACCCTTCAAGAACAGAGCAGTGGGGGTCTGAAATCAAACCGGTAAATTTGAAAGTACTGACATCATTCTGATTATGTTCCCTGACTGTAACAGAGTTAAGTAGAAATCAATCTGTGAAAAATACCTGGAGAATACCCCAAATATCCAGAAGTTAAACTACTCACTTCTGAATGATTCATGTGTCAGAAAAGAAAATTAGAAATTACTTTGAAATAAGTGAAAATGAGAAGACAACCAAAATATTAGCTCTTTGTGGTGGCCCATGTCTGTAATCACAGCACTCTGGGAAGCTGAGGCAGGAGGATCACAAGTCTGAGCTCAGCCTGGGCAAATTTGTGACTTAGTAAGACTTTGACCCAAGATTTTAAAAAGGGGGATCAAGACTGTGGATTTAGCCCATTGTGAAGTCCCTGGTTTCTATCCCTAGTACCAAGTGTATGAACCTACAAACAAAACACTGAGAGGTAAATTAGGAGCCTCTGTCTCCTCTGTGCCCCTGCTTCCTTCCACTGTCAGGTCACTGCAGCTGCTCAGTGAGTTAGTTAAGCCATATGTTCTATGCTGGCACCTAGTCCAAGAGCAGCCTGGCCTTCATGGTTTCCCTGAGTATATGAGTTGTTTTCCTCAGTTCAGAATGCACATTGACCATTCGCAAAGGTCATGTTCTTAGAACTGTGGAGGAGAATTTATGTGCAGTAACACACAAGTTCAAGTTGAGGATCCTCATGCTAATATTAATGAAAGTCTTGTCACAGTTGCTTCCTTTTTCTCTGACTGTACCTGGAGAATTCTCATACATCTCCCTACAAGTTAGACTTTTTGTAACTCTTTCTTCAGTTCTCTTCTGTGACTTCTGTTTCTATTAACAGTCCTTTAATTGCCTTGACTTCTTATTAGAGTTTCACAGTCTTCACCTGTCCCTACCCAGAATCTAGTATTAACTTGTTCTGTTCACTCATTGTTCTGATATGTGGGATGTTTTGCTGGACACTAGGCTTGTAGAGGCTGGGAAACAACCAGGTAATTAGAGCTGTGAATGTTTAGACAGAGGGATGTTAGAGGAGCTGTGGGACCAAATATTCATTCAACAAACATTTAATTGAACTCATGGTACCATGCATTGTGCAGTTGCATCTGTGTCATCAAAGTTGACCTTACAGGGAAGGTGGCTCCTGGATCCCATTGTGAAGGCTAAATTAGGCATCCTCAAGCGATAGAGGAGGGGTTGGTATTCCAGGGGCAGGATATTGTTTTCTGGGTGAGGCATGGTGTCATGAAAAACCAAAGAAGGATGTGGTTAGTCTGGCCTGGCTGAGGCATGTGGTGGCATGCTAGGTAGTGAGGTCCAAGAGAAGGTGCTAGGAAGGTCGTGAACCTTCTCTCTGCTTAGGGAGCTCAGCCCTGCTTCCTCAAGCACTGTGTCTTCATAGCACTGTGCACCTACCCTCCTACACTCAGTCCTTTCTGCTTTGGTCATCATTCTGCGGCTGACATTTGCTGCCCTGACCAAGGGCTCCACATAGTGGTGACCGTGAGCAAGCACTGCTGAAGGTGTGTTTTCCAAGCAGAGAAAGCCTTGTGAGCAGAGGAGGGGCCCTAAACTGCTGGGAGCGAGAATAGTCCCTCTTGCTGGGAGCCATTAGTTTTCATTGGCCTCTTGAAGTCCTGGTTTTTGTTTTATGTGTATATTTTAAAGGCAGGGGAGGAAGAGGTTGAGGTATAAAGTCATTGATTTTGAAGACATCCTATGGGGTAAAATTTCAGTTTATCCATCCTGATTTTTTTTGTTCTTTCCCTTTAGGTTTCTTGCTATTTAAAGATTTTTGTTTGAATGAAATTAATGAAGCTGTACCTCAGGTGAAGTTTTATGAAGAGGTAAGAAGTAACTTTTCCTAATGCTTTTACTTAAAAAAGCATATTCTAACTGTGCTTTGGGAAATACTAAGACTATAAAACATCTTCTACATATTTAGAAACTCATTAAATGCAAAATATAATATGTAATTTCTCTGAAATGCTGACAACAGCTAAAAGGGGCCAGGCGTGTTATTAAAACCATATTCCTAAAGGCTTTGGCATACAGTGGGAAAAATGAGGAATTGTTGAGCTGAATTTCCAGAGGCAGAGGATTCTTCAGAAGTGCACCAAAGATTACCAGCCACTTTACCTCCCGTGAAGGCTTGTTCTGGAGATGTGAACCACAGCCCAGGGCTGCCACTGGTCTGAGAGAGAAGCTAGCAGAGATTTCTGGTCTTTGTTACTGGAGTAAGAAATTGCAGACCGGTTGAGGTGGGGTGGGTTAGAGTGGGGTGGGATCTCAGACACACAGCTGGTGAAATCTGCAGCTGGAGAGGAGAGGAAATGATAGGGCAGAAATTTCTGGAAGGCAGAAAGTCAGCCATACAGAATTAAATAAGTTTAAGATCTACAAACCTACTGAGGACAGAAGTCTGAAAATAGAACAAGCAAGAGAGGATAGTCATCAGGCAGTAGCCTGCTGGAATTGAGGATTGACAGCTGTTTGTTAGCTGGACTGACTGTTAACTCATGGGGCATTGGGCTGAAGGAAATTCAGGCACATGAATATTCAGGCTTAGCTCTGGGCAGGAAGATGCTTCTGTGAGACAGAAAATCTAGGAGAGGTTTCTGGAACTAACTAAAAAACACATGGAACTGGGTGTTTTGGTACACATACATGTAATCCCAGAACTCTGGGAGGCTGAGGCAAGTTAGATCCCAGCCTGAAGTTGTGAGACCCTCTCACAAAATTAAAAATACAAAACAAAAAAGTGGGAGGGTGTGGCTCAGTGCAAAGACCCCTGGGTTCAGTCCCCAGTACTGCTCAATTGGTCAATCAGTCAAAGAAACAGGACTGGAGGGATCCCAGACAGGTGGTTAGTTTCGTTCCCAAGACACATGCCAAGGTCCAAAGCTTAGTGGGATGGGCGGACAAATAGCTAAGATGGAAACTTCTCCAGAGAAGAACTGAATCTAGTGCTGGGGAGACAGAGATCTCTCACTGTGCTCCACAGAGGATTGTGATGTAGGCTGAGGCCTACAAAATAATGACAACCCAGCCCCAGACTGGCTCAACTTTGTACTGGGTGATGAGTCTCCTTCCCTCCTGCCCAAACACAAAATAAAGAGAGCCTGCTATGTTTTCTCTGTGGGTATAAGGTAACAATAGGAGAAAATTACCAGACTTGCTATAAATCTGACTCCTAAGCAAGGTGATAGAAGAAGACCTTTCAGAGGAGTGGGGTGCTGGAAGTAATTTCAAGTACTTTAAAATAAGCACAAATAATATGTTCAGTAAAAGATGGGAAAATAGATCTCAGCATAATTTGAACTTATGAAGAGTTGAATTTGAACAGAATTGAAGTCAGAACTTAATGCATTGTTAGATTTAATGCAGTAAGGTACAATACAAGATAAGACAATATTTAGGAAAGTGGGCCAGTAGATAGTCTCAGACCGAAACACAGAGAGAAACGAATAGAAAAAGAAACAGATTAGAATATGAAAGATATACAAGGCGTAATTAAAGGCCTAACACATGTAAAATTGGAGTTCTAGAAAGACAAAAGAGAGAATAGGGCAGAAGCAGTATTTGAAGAGACAGTTTTACAAAATGGTGACAGATACTTATAGATTCAAAAAGCTTAGAATCCGTTCCTAATTTCATCACTAGACAGAGTGAATACAGAGGACACATGTCTTTGCACATCAGTATAGGACTGAAGAAACTTAGGGTAGAGAACATCTGAAGGGGTGCCAAGGGAGCCACATTACTTACTTTTAAAGAGGTGGCAGTTAGACTGACTGTGATACTGAAGAGAAATGATTGTGGGGGCAGGCAATGAAACGGTCATCTTTAAGTTCCAAAAGAAAAATCTTCCAGCCTAGAATGCCATTCCCAAATTTTCCTTTAAAAGTGGAAGAGAAATGGAGATGTTCAGACAAAACAAAAAACTGACAACAGCAACAAAAACCAAATAATTTTTTTTAAATGAGAGAATTTGTCAGTAATTTACCTGTATTACCAAGTAATGCAGCTGAGGTGCAGGGAGATGCTTCAGGCAGACAAGAAGTAGATCCTGATGGAGATGCAGGAGGGAAGGATGAGGAACATGGGTGAATCTGTATGTGAAATAAAGTGAATAATGACAATACACAACAGTAGCACATTGTTTCTAGTGTATAGTGTATGTAGCACCAAAGTGCATGACACTTGTAAAAAAGAGGACTCATAAAGGTAAAATATTTTAATGTTCTAGGATTATTGGTTGGAGTAGTAATCAGTATATCTAATAAGTTGAAAGAGAAAAGTAGGATTAAAAACTATGTGATTAATCAAGAAGAGGTAATAAAGGAATAGAAGTTGGTAGGTCAAATTGAAAACAAAACAGAGTAAGATGGTAGCTTAAATCTAGTTACGTTTAATGCCAGTGGACTAAACACTCCAGAGTAAAAGACTGAGGTTTTCAGACTGGATTAAGAAATGAAGCCCTATCATGTACCATTTGTAGGAACGAAAAGGAAGGATAGGTGATATATGCTGTGATATACAGACTGTATCCACATAATCAGATGAACTACCTGGTTATGCTACTTTGAAATAGAGATATTCTTAATGATAAAGGGGTTGATCCAACAGCTCTCCCAATTTTAAGTCTGTATGTTACAAATAACACAGCTTCAAAGTATATAATGCAAAAATAGGCAGATACAAAACAAATCCACAGCTCTAGTCAGAAATATTAACATACTCCCTTCAAGAGTTTAAAACCCCAAGTCTTCAGTAAATACAGAGAAGCTCTTAATAAAGTGATGAATAAACTAATTGGCATACATAGAAACTATACCCAACAAAAGTAGATTTGACATACTTTGAATTATGTGCAGAATATTTTTTTAAATAGTTCATGTGTTGATTCCTCTAGAAACTTAACAAATTCCAAGATTTAAATTGTTCAGATGATCTTTTCTGACCACAGTAAAATTAAGCTCAAATAAATCCTTATGTGCCAGATTTGAATAAACCTTGAAATACTTATAGGTCAAAGGAGGAATTAGAATAGAAATTAGGAAATTTTTTAAGGTTTTTAATAAATGACATATGCTGTTATTAACAAACATGATGTATTTTTGCTCTACATCCTTTAAATGATACAAAGAAAATGTAGCATAGTTATGCCTGTAGTCTTTGCACATTTGAAAATTGAGGAATAATTCCCTTCTTTACAGTTTTTCAGAGAAATATGAAATGTCATATTTTTCCATACTTTAATAATTATATTAATATATTTTCAGAGTGGTCAAATTATGATGTACAGGGCCAGGGATTTAGCTCAGTGCTTCCAGCACCTGCCTTGCAAGCACAAGGTCCCAAGTTCAATCCCTGGTTCAAAAAAAAAAGTTATTAAAAATTATGATGTACATTTGGCATCCTGTAAAAAAGTAATGTGAATCCAGAAAGATGTTTCTCAGTATAAAGTTAACCTTATTACCTGCATCTGAATCATAATCAGGTGTTTTATCTTGAGAAGTATCACAGCTTGATCTGTCAAACATTTTTTTTTTCTTTTCTGTGTTCCTAAAAGCTTCACCTCTTCAATTTCAGCACATACTAAGTCACCTTGTCAAATGCCGAAAAATCTCCCATAGCAGATAACTTCTACAGGGTAGAGCAGATGGGCCATCTGTGTGGGAGCTTCTTACATACTTTTCATGAGCATGCTGGTGACTGCTGTTGGTTTGCATTTGTCTGAACGTCAGGCACTGGTGTTTCTCTTTGTGACTCCTTCGCACCTCTTCTCGCCTCTTTTCTGACTTGGCCCATGGTGGACCAGTCTTATCAAGTATCTGCCTTGGGGGGTGCTCCCTGCTCCTCGGCAGCTTGCCTTCTGTTCTTTGGAAGATGCCATCTGTCCTTGGGGCTCATATACAATTCTCTCAATGGACACAGCCCCGGAACATTGAAGTTCTCAGTGATTCTCCTTTGGTCCCTTGCTTTCATCACTGTAGTGGATTCTTCTTTAATTTCTGGTTGTTTTTAGAAGATTCTGTTGGCCTGTCAGTTGAGGAGAAAAGGCAGTTAAAGTCTCCAACTCTTGGCTACTACCTTTTTTATTTTGTCTTTTTCTTTTTTTGGCCACATACTTTGGAGCCCCATGAGCAGTTGCATACATGTTTCTGATTGTTATGTCTCTCTGTATGAATTGTCCCTCTTTATTTTTGTTTTATCTCTGGTAATAGTCTGTTGCAGTCAGCTTCACTGGATTCTGTAAATCTAGCCATGTGAGTCTTCTCGTGGTTACTGTTTTTATGGTGTGTTTTCCTCATCTATCTACTTTCAATCCCTTATATGTAAATGGTTTATTTTAGATAGATACGGAAAAGGCTTGATTATTTTTTCCTTCATTCGATAACTTCTGTCTTATTTTTTTAGTACTGGGGGTTGAACCAACCCAGACTTCCATCCTAAGCTGCATTTGCTAGCCCTTTTTTATTTTTGAAAATGGTCTCATTAAGTTGTCCAGGCTTTGCTTGAACTTGCAATCCTCCTGCTTCAACTTCCCAGAGTTGTGGGATTACAGGCATGAACCACCCTGCCTTGCTGACAGTTTCTGCTTTTTAGTGAAGGAATCTTAGATATAATACAGTGAACATTTGACTTACAAATTCAGTTCATTCCTGAGGGCTGGCTGTAACTCACGTTAATCAACTGAAGGCTCAGTTTCCTCTACACAGCCTTCAAAGTCTCTCTCCTGTATATGAGCAGATCTCAGTGTCAGACATTGACCCAGGATTTCTTAATTGACCCCACACAGGAAAGGATGCTGTCATGTTCCTTCCAGAACTCTTCAAGGGTT